AGGCCAATCTTCTGCTTTGCCAAAGAGAATATCCTTGTATGTAACTGGCCATAATAGAAGTGGGGGTCCTTCACCCATTCCGTAGTTGAGTTACAGAGTTGTTTGCTGTAAGATGATGTGGATGCTGAAAACATATGACTGTTCTAGGAGAGGATGTTCATGGATGAGAAATTGCCAGAATATTGATAAATAAGCAAATTTGGACATTATTTTTTTTAGTGTATAAGGAAAAAACCCCAAACACCAAACCAACAAAAAGCCTAAAATCCTGGCTTAAGAAGTCTCTCAGCTGTTAACAGTTTGAGACTCAGAGAGTACATACAGGCTTCCTTATTCTTGCATAAATAGTAACTAATAACTTAATGAAAGCATGAATAATACTGCAAATATTGTCCTTCTCTTTTCTTCCAAGTATTTTTATAACAATATAAGGAAGTCTCTGCTAAATATTATTCAAACTGAGCTTTCAGAAGTTACCAAGTGCCTTTATTTCAGTTGCCTCATATCATTTGTCTTCTAGACATTTTGTTCCATTTCTCAACCAGAACAATCTTGGGGAAAGCTATTAAAAAAATTCTTAAAGTTCATTAAAGAGTGAAGGGTGTTACTCTACAGTGTTGAACCAACCACTTGAAAGACATTTGTGAGGATAAAACTGATAAGATCCTTATTGTAATGCATAGTAAATATTAATTGTGAAGAGGAATGCTACGGATGAGTAGCCTATATTTAAATTTATGCATGATAAAGCATTCCAATGGAATATAGTATTAATGTGTTCTTTTCTGTTGTCCTATAAATCCTATTTCTTGACTCTAAAGAATGGACAAAGACATTTAATAGCTTAGTTTATCTACCAAATTGAAAACACATATTGCCTGGTCTAGCTGTGACAATGGGAATAATTTTGTGAGTGCTCAGATATTAGATACTGTATTTATAGTAAAGATGTTATTTAAAATTTGTAATTTTTAAAAACTCATGGTAAAACAGCAGCATATTTTTTGAGTATGTGGCATAGTTTCATTGCTGTAGATTCTTGAATAGATAAATAATTAAAGAAATATGAGAACCCATATTTAGGTTGTTATTGAATTGATCAGGAAAGAACAAGTAATTTTCATTTTTTAATAATTTTAGTTATAATACAGTTTTTGTAATCTTATTATGTGTTTCAGTGGCACAGATGCTACAAATATGTTCTGGTCTCATATTTTTGTCTTAAGGACAACTTCTATCTTCTAGGGAAGTCTTGGGAATTGTTTCTTCTGCAAAAAATTACATGATTTGAGGAACTAATTCTTAGCTTCTAGTGCCTCAAGGAGTGTTTAAGTCCCTAAAGTAGGAATAGCTTTTCTTTCATGGCAATCAAAATGTTTTGTGTATGAATATGAATGCAGTTATATGTAGTAATTAAGTACTGTATTAGTATCTGAACGAACAGCTCTGGCATATAGCCAGCTTGTGGCCAGGAAAGTAGCCAATAGCCTGGAGGAGAAATGCTTTAATTATTATGTAATAATAACTAAAGAGCTCTAGAGAGCTCTCCATATTCTGTCCAGCTGCATTTGTAATTTTTTGTATTATTTGGGACAGTTGTAATTTCTATTTAAAAAAATGTGGAAGACAACTCATTGTACTTCTTTCATACTGCATCAGAAAGTGTTCAAGTAAGTTTTCCAGCATTCTTACAAAGCAAAATTGAAAATTGCTTGGTCTATTGAATATATTTTATAGCCATCAGTTTCTTCAGAGGATGAGGATAGTGCAGCAGGAGTTATTAGCCTTAAGGAAATTAAAGATTTATGCATGTGCTGTTCTGTTTATATCTTAGCTATTTTTGATGCTAAGTTCCTTCATAAAGGATGAATACAGTACATTTTCTTGAACTATGGATACATGTGAAGTCTAACTTCAGGAACATTCTATCCAATAAATAATAAAGATATTCATACAAGACATGCCAACGATATCTGTTATTGTTTGTTGGCCTATATGTTTCTACAGACCACAAAAGCCTGGTATTAACTTGACATTGTAATTTAATGACTCCAGTTTTCATTAGGTAGATAAGTGGTATAGTATGGGCTCCCATTTCTTTAGTGGGACTTCTTTGCACTTCACTAGTCTGTTCTGAAATGCTTCAGATAGGGCCTTTGGCCTTCCTGTTAATTGTCTGTTGTGTTGAAAACCAGGGGAAACCTTTCTTCTCTTTTATGTTTTGCCCTGTCATTGTTGTAACAAAAAAGAAAAAAGAGAATCAAGGGATAAGAAAGGCGTACTTCTTTCATTAGTACCTAGAAGCATGAAGAGACAAAATCAGCACATTGTTAACTCAGTGTAACTTGAGCTGAATGTCTTCACTTCAAGCTCTTATATTCCAATTATTTTATTAGCTGTATAAACCATTAAAAACATTGTAAACTTGATTTCAATAAGGAGAGTGCTAATTAAATCACAGCCTGTAGCTCTGAAGCAATTTAGTCTGTTACTTCATGCAAGCTACTTAAACTTGATTTCAGATGCCCACTTTCTTTGCCTGTCTTCATGAATAGAGTGCACGTACCTGTCCATGTGCAATTGGGTTCTCAAAAGAAAGTCATCTCTGGTGGGCTTGTCTAGTGCCAGTTGTCTTTGTATCTTCTTGTACCTTAGGCAGGGAGGGTGTCAGGAAGTTCAACCATTTCATGGTACCTTCATACCACATGAAACCACTGTTGACAGTGAGTCTTGTGATGCCCACTTCTTGAAATTTAGGTGCCTTTTCTCTTGTCCTTGCAGATACCCCCAGGTGTCACAGGCACTTTGGTTCTTAGTGCTGCCCTGCTGATCATGCAGAGATGCTGAGGACTGTTCATGGTGGTGTAGCTACCATTTGTTTGGGAGCATGACAAGAAGACAGGGACATTCCTAGTGTTTGCAGTTTCCTTTGTACAAACTCACTCTGGGAAAGATAAGTAAAAAGATGAGGAGTCTTGTAGAAGTCAGACTTCTTAGGGGCTTTGTAACTGGCTGGTCTCCAGGCTATATGAGAGCATGTGTTCCCTTTGACTCCTGCTTACAAATTGTAGTTGGTATAATGTTGTCTTGTACCATCAGTAACCACATAGCAGTAAAGTGGGACAGAGCTCCAAGTCATCTGCAACACCCAAGCTGCATTTGAACCTTCCTTGATGGCAGAGGAAGAGAAAGAACAGCCCTTTCATAAATTCTGTCTTTGCCTTTCAGTCAGTGTCACAGGGCCTTGTCCTCCTCCTAGTCCTTTGTGCTCTCCCTTCATACTGCTTGAGTTTTTGATGAAGAAGTGCAAGACTGGCAGGGCTATTATATATGGGTTAGTCCAACCCAGGAAACACAGGAAATGCCCGTGAAAGTACCTCACTCTTCAGACTGTGCCTTGAAACACTTATATTTATCACATGCTCAAAAAACCATCCCAATAACACCACGCTCCCACCCCAAACAATTATGTCATGGTTCACTGAGATCACTGTTTGCCCTAAAATAAAGGTTTTGTTTCTTGTACTAATTTCTTGTTTTCTCTAGCCATCTGTTCTCTTGTCTTTCCTTTACATTGTAAACTCTTGGAAAAAAATTAATTTTTTGTTTGCTGGTTTGTTTTTCTGTCTTTAGTGCTTTGCACAATGGGATCTTCATCAATGTGTCCATCACTGGCACTTTAACAACACATCTTCTAAGCCTTGGTATTGGTAGATATACTTGCAAATATTCTTCATCAGGTCTTTGGGTTATATATGTTTTTCCAGATAGTTTTGTTTACCCTTATCTTTGAATCACAATTGTTTATCTAACTGTGTCTTTAGGAAAGACGTGGTAAGCAAAATTCCAGTTACACAGATTTATACCAATTCCAGGTTGAAAGAGTTCTTTCTTATGTTTTCTGTACAATTAGAAAAGAAGCTAAAGTGGTTTTTTTCCCAATGTACCTTGCATCAGCAGATTTTTCTACTTTTTTTTCAGGTCATTTTTTTCCCCAAACAGATGGGGATATTTGCAATATGTGGTACCATACATATATATGCCAAATATATTAGTTGTAACTATTCTGCTATGGCAGCCTGATTCGCTTCTATGTCCTGGGAGAACTGTTAAGTGTAAGATCAGTAGTGCCTGTTTCAAAGAGTTGTTAGGATTATAAGTGGTAAGTGATGTGGTCCTGAACACCCATATAAAGTGAAGCAGAAACCTGACTTTAATTAGAAATTAAACAAATTCTGTTCTACCTAAGCTATTTGAAGATATGTTGGGTACACTTGAAGTAAAAAGCACTGGTAGCTGAAACGATAATGGACTTATCTGAATTGAATCTTAATGATCTAAAAACTCATTTATAACCAAGTGCAGTTTTAACAAGGTCTGTAAAGCTGGAGAAGTGTCAGATGTGGTGACATTGTCCCATAATATATGGAAATGGTTTTACTACCCAGGTTTGTTTGGTATTAAGTAAAATCAAATTCTTAATATGTATATTACAGTATAAAAGTCTTTTCTTGTTTACTCATTACTGGTGTACAGTATGATCTAGAACTGGTAATTAATTAAATTTTTTTTTCCAACAAACCTACCTATTTAAAGTCAATAAAGTCTAGAATTAAATCAAGTGAATTGAAGTCAGAATGAATATGAAGCCTCAAAAGTATTTTTAATGACTTAGCCATTAGATTGAATATTACTAGAGGAATCTGTGTTTTAAAAAAATAAAAAAGGTAAAAATAATAGCTACAAAAAAGTTAAATGCATTCTTTGAGCTGATAAAATCTAAATTAGTTGATTATGTAAATTGTTAGCTTGTTTTACCGTGTTAGGTAAATATATTTTAAAATGCATTTAAATGTTTTTAAAATAGTTACCCAGTTGGTACCCTGCTTTAGTTCAGCAACATAAAATCTCAGATGAAAACAAATACTAGTTGAAAGCTGAAATCCCTTGGTCTTCTAAAATGCTCTTGTTTTCTGTATTTTTGTTTTTAAATTTTGCAGCATGGGTGAGCTCTCTCTCTATGGGAATGGTCTTCTTCTGTTCTCCAATAGTCAGCATATTCACAGACCTGTTTGGTTGTCGAAAAGTTGCTGTTGTTGGAGCTGCAGTAGGGCTTGCTGGACTCCTTGCAAGTTCTTTTGTAAGGTAAAAAAATTTAAATTCTTAACTTTCAAAGTATAGGTAATGCTGATTCTATCAACAGAATACAAAGGAGTAAACAGTGCTTCTTTATATTATCTGTTAAAGTAGAAAACCTGTTTTTGTTTTTTCTTTCGAACTTTGACTTGTGAACTTTCAACTTCAAAAGTAATTTATAAAATACAATTGAATGTCACAGCAGCACTCGCTATTTAACAGGAACCACTATGTACAAATGCATCATCAGCGAGACTATTGCTATAAGATAACAGTATTGTCCTGAATAAACTTGTTATGTATGTGCTTAATGTATGTTTGTTTTAGCAGGTGCATAAGCATTGTTGCTGTCTTCCCTACTTGCCCTGTCCCCTCAATTTGTTTTTAAACCAGTTCTAATGTTGATAAATACACAGTAGGACTTCCAGTAAAGTGTTCATATTCTAGTAAAATTTGAAGGTTTCATCTATTTCTAGCAATCCAATTACCAAACATGAAGATAACAAAACCATTAGTGTAATGATATATACTTTGGGCTTATTTTCTTTGTTAAGAAAATATCTGGGTTTTTTTGCACTACTGAAAAAAACCTTGAGTGGGGCTTTTTCTCCAGATTTTTGTAAGTTTCTGTAACTTTTATGGAATAAATCCTAAGAAATTCAAGAGCGACAGATTTGTTGGACGTGCCCAATAGAAGATGAGGAAACAGGAAGTTTACTTACTCTAGTCATTAACAGAAACTGGTTAGTGAAGATAGGGTAAGAAGGAGCAGGAAAATAAGCCAGTTATCTCTAGTTCTCAGACTGCTGTTTTTTCCCCCTACCCTTGGCAGAATACGTGCAGGAACAATCATGAGCTACATTGGGAAGAATTTTCTACGTAGATGAAAATAAAATATATTTTTACAGACAAACCTGTGAAAATGTCTCTCCTGTGCTTGTACTCTGAACCAGACAGATGTGGGCTGGCTGTGATGTGGATGGATGGCTGTCCATGCTATGTGGCACTGTGCCTGATCTATTATTACATCTAACTTGGGCATATATCCCCTAATGTGAAAACATGTCCACAAATTGACAGGAAGAGAAGGCAAATAGTTGTGTCTTAGATATTGAGACTAACATTTATTCTTGGATTAACCTATATTTGTGGGAAAAAAATAAAGCTTGTTTTCTTGTTATTTGAGCTAATTCTTGATTTTTATTTTATTTTTTGGTTAATCCGAGTGCAAATATTTTGCTTAATTCATTTTATTAAAGCAAACAAACAGCCCCTCCACTTCCTGATGTGTTTTAAGAAGCTGCTTACTAAAGGTGAGGTAAAAACTAAAAGATGCATCTTGGAAAAGTGTTTCTTCTTCCTTGCTTCCTAGTAGTATGTTAAGTGCTGAATACTAAACAAGTCTCATTATTATAGATTAAATCTCTTGATAAAGGATCATTCCTGTGTTTCTCTGATATCCAGTGGAACAAAGGCAAAGAAGAGACATGCAAGAGGAGTTTGTTTTGTAAAGGCTTTAAAATATTTTAGCTTAATTGAGTTTTGTTTTGAAGAGCACTCTGAGAGGTGAATTCCAAGAGTACATGCCAAGTTGATGTGCATACTTGGTGTTTCATTATGTTATTTACACTAAAATGATTTATGCCTATGATGTTATCAGTTAATTGAAGTATAGTTCAGATATGGAAGTCCATGTTCTAAAAGTCGAGTATTGTAAATTAGACAAACGTAAATATGATTTACTGCTTTTGCTAATTTCTTAATATAAATTTTATCTCAAAGGAAGTTGAGAGGTAAGGGTGTTTATAAAGTAGGACAAAATTTTAATATGTATGTTGTGCTGCAAACTCTTTGAATGAATCTACAAATTGAAGCACAAGTTCTTTACCCTTACTGTATTATGTTCCTCCTCTCATTTTATAGTGTCTGTTTTTATTTTTCCTGGTTGTTTTCCATTGATAAAAGTAAAAAAATAAGTCTTTCCCCCCCATGTTGTTTCCTATGGCTTATGTTGCATATAATCAGTTTCAGAAATTGATAGTTTAATATAGAAAGTGACAATATTGTATTATACAAATATTTTTCTCTATAATACACAAAGTCAGAGCTTTATTAGTTAAATACCATTTTCTAAGAATTTCTTCAATTGTATGGGAAGCTTGTGGAGTGTATTTTTCTATAGAGGGGTGCTGTAGAGGGCTTTCCTGTGATGGAAAGCACTACATAAAGCATTCATACTCCCCCCTCAAAAAGTTAATATATGGTCTAACAGATAAAATTTTTTATAACCGTTTTTTAGAACGACTAAAAGCGGGTGTTAGCTGATAAAAAAAGAGATGACAGTTCATTGAAAACATAATATTAAAAATAATTATAAACCCATTACGTGCTGCCTCAGAAATCTTCTAAAAAATTTTTTTGCATGTTGCCTCCTTCATCTAAATGTAAAAAAAATGTTTCCTTTGACTGTATTAATACTACAACACTAATTTAATTAATTGTACTGATACTGTTGCCTCATACCTCTAGTATTTCTTGCACAAGTACCTTTTAATGGCACACATTTACCTGTGATCACTTACAATTGAAATGAAGCAGAGCTGTGGTATAGTAGATGGCAATGGTGGAGAACCTTATGATGAAGATCCACCTTACCATGAGTTGAAATATTTCATTCTTTATTATCATTTTTTTCAATTTCTTTCTTAGCATATTCAATATATGGATCAAAACACTGAATATAAAATAATTAATCAAAAGGGAATTATTTGTCTAAGAATTTAATACCTAAAAAAATGTGTAATTTGCTAATAACATATTATATTACCAAAACTTGTCAGTATTCAAATGTTTTATTTTTCATTAATAATGATGTTTACTACTTTTGTTACTGTATTTCAATAAGAAACTGTTTAAATATTTGACTTTTCTATGTTCATGAGGACTGTTCAGTATTAAGTTTGAACTGCTAGCACAGTGAAGAAATGTGTGAATCAAAACAGCACGCTTTCTTTGGAAAGCAAAAACCCAGCTGTGGCTGAACTTATGTTTGGCTAATTTGCTCCAACAATGATTTCTAAAACTTTTTAACCACAATACTTGTTGTAATTATAATTGAATATAATTTTTCTTTTTTACTTGTTCAGTGGATTCTGTGACATTTTCAGTGGAAGGAAATAGGATAATTGTTGAATTAAGCTGACACAGAGCATTTCAGCTATAAGTATATACAAACTCAACTCACTTATCTAATTATATTTGTTGATTGAAAAGCTGTCATGTATATATGGTGGATGAACATGAGCATCCACTGTCTTACAAAACACTAATGATTTGCTATTTTTTTCCTTTTTGTTTCTTTTGGTACAGCACCATTGAACCTCTGTATTTCACCTACGGAATCTTGTTTGCCTGTGGCTGCTCCTTTGCGTACCAGCCGTCCTTGGTCATCCTTGGGCACTATTTCAAGAAACGCCTGGGACTGGTGAATGGCATCGTCACTGCAGGCAGCAGCTTGTTCACAGTGTCACTGCCCTTCCTCTTGAGAGTTTTGCTCGATTCTGTCAATCTGTTCAACACCTTGCGGGTCCTGTGCATCCTGATGTTTATTCTGTTCCTGGCTGGATTCACGTATAAACCCCTCATTCCTGACACCAAAGACAAGGAGGGAGGAAAGAAGGGGAAGTTCAAATTTCCTCCTGGAAAAAAGATTTGCAATTTCTCCGTTTTCAAAGTTCTCAGTTACCGAATCTGGGCTTTTGGGATCCCAGCTGCCCTTTTTGGATATTTTGTGCCTTATGTTCACTTGGTAAGTGCACCTTTCTTCCAGCATATGATGTGTTTGAAGCTTTTGCTATTTGCCTTTGTGTTATGGACTAGGAAAGCAATTGGAGGTAGGAAGCAAGATTCAAACTGGAAGTTGTGTTTGGGAGAAACAAAAAATGAACTTGGTTGTTGTCTGGTTGAAAGAGGGCTTTAATCAGGACTATTAGTTAAGCCAGTTAAAATTTTTGTTCTTTGTTCTCAGTCTAAAGTATAAAATACTTTAACTATGAAAAGAGGCACTTGAAAATATTCTGTACTGTTCCAAAGAGAATTCTTCACTTTGGTACTCAGTTGCTTACATTGCCAATGATACTTGTGTGTTTTAGAGGAAGCATGAAAGGAGTAAAAACCAGAAAATGGGTAAAAATTGTAATTTTTGTTCCTTTATATTGAGGTATGTTGAAGTATCAATTTTTAGGATGCATTTTATTCACAATTTTTCAGCTTTATTAAAAGCAAAATACTTGCATTTTTCTGTCTCTCAAGCTTTACTTTTGTAGTTTACTACTAGAGCAGTAATATAATTGATCCTCCTACCTGGTCCTACTAGCTGCCAGTTGAGTTGTGTTTTGCTGCTGTCTACAGTAACTGGCAGAGCTTTGGCTTCTGATGATGGGGAAGCTGTCAGTCAGCCGTGGTTTCGTGTGCATGTGCTAGAGTTAATTTGTTTCCCTAGCAGCAGATTTTTTTTTTCTGTAGTACACTGTTAAACTAAGAAATTTAGGTGCAACTGGGAGTTGCATTGTGTCTGACAGGCACTCATTGCACTGCTGAAATGGTGAATTATTTTTTAATGGCTTGCTGGTGGTGCTGTCTAAACTGAAGTGGTGTAAACCAGAAGGCTTAAAAGGGACAGGTGTAAGGGGGGAAATAAAGCCCATAATCTGCAATGAGATGCTCTATTTAGACCATTACATATCCTTACATTCAAGAGTATTTGATTGGACTGCTAGAAGTAGTGTTCACTGTGAAAACAGGATCGTTTTAATATTTGTTATTCACCCATGATAGAACAGTAAGATTAATGATAATAAATACCTTTAATTCTGTTAAAAAGTCTTCAATTACTTAAAAGCCCAGGAATTTTTATGCAATATAACAGGTGGTGTCACAGCTTTCTGGTAATACATTGGTTAGATTACTGACTCTGCATAAGATATTTATTTTCAAAATTACTCTATGCTGGCGGCTAGTTTGTTTTTGAGCAGCTGTAGACTGATTTTTATTAATGGCTAGTTCTTGTTACTTAGTGAATCTTACTCCATAATGCTTTGAATTAGGCTATTTCAAAGGACTGTACAATCTAAATGACTAAGCTGTTGTGACATCTTATGCTAAGTCTTCAGAGGAGTTGGTGTTGTAGAGAAAGCTATTGGCCAAATCCTGAATCATTGTTAACATATGCAAATAACTGAAGAATAAAGCTTATACGAGCAGTTAAATACAACTTCTAAAATACATTTATTGAGCAAAAAGCTTGTAAGTTTTTCCCAAGTTGCTTGTACAAACCCTTCTGGTTTATAGGCTGGACTAAAGGTGCTGATGGACTTGTAGCGGACAAAGCCCTGTATCTTCTTTAATATTATGTATTATAATTTTTTCCTTTTTATAGGGTGCTCTCACTCCTCTTGAGTGAGGATAATACTTTTAATAGAAAGAGGTGTTTATATTTATGGAAAAGTGAATAAGTGAAGTGGTGTTTATTGCTGGTGGGCAATAATGTATGCTGGGGGGACTTATGCTTAGAAAGTCCACGTGGATCTGTATTTGAGAAAGTGAATAAATCAGTGTTCATCAAGGAACAGCACAGATTATGCCCTTCAACAGATACTTCAACTCAAGTAGATAGCTCTGGACGTTTTTTATCCTAGTTTTGTCTACTTTTGATAAAAAGCCCCACATTTTATGTACTTCCAGAAGTACACAGAAGTATGTACTGACAAATAAATCAAAAGCAATAAGAAAAAAAATAGGTTTTTTGCTGGTGCATCTACAAAACCACAGATTGCTCACCTGATCTTCTGAAAATGAAAGTTACTATTGTCTCATTGCTACAGTTTTATATATGCAGCAAACAATACTGGAAAAGGGATATGATCCTTAGGCGAGTGACAGCTTTTGTTGTGCTGAAATTCTTGAATTTTTACCCACTGTTAGGGTTGGCTGACAGCAGCCAGACTACTCAAATGCTGTTTGCAAGCACCCTAAGAAATAAACACATACAAATGAACCTGCTGCCTACAACTCTCCTCTTAGCCCTCAGAACTGGCTTCTCTATTTAACCAAGTCCCATTTTTCCCACCTGGAAGGATAGTTTCATCCAGAATGGCTGCTCTTGACCATGTGATGGAGTGCCACAGGCCCTACGGATTTGGGGTCCTTCTGTGTCACCCCTCAGGCCCATGGTGGCTGGAGGTCACGGATTTGGTGTGCTCAAGTCACTGCACTGCAGCTGCTGCCTGCCAGCTTGGCACAGCTGAGGAGCTCCTGAGGGTGCAGGCAGGGTCTCCATGTGCTTCAGGGCCAGCCCTGATTTCTGGTCATGTCTCTTGCATCTCCTGAAGCGTATTGGAAAGGAGAACTCACATTGCGAAACTTGTAGTACGAAAGAAGTGAAAACTCATTTGGGGCTTTGGAATAATAGAATTGGCCAAGTATTTGCAATTTTAACTGTCTGCACTGTATTTGCTACACCAAGTAAAAACTGGAGAAATAACCTGCTTATGAACTGGGCTCTAACTGAAACACATTGATTTTATGGTAAGCTAGATAGGATTCATGTCAAGGAGCTGGCAAGAATTACCAGTCCCTGACTGGTAGATATCAGCTGCGTGTGAGATAGGCATCATATTCCTTTTGGCTCTTGCAAGGGAGAACCAAAAGGGAAAGCTTTTCTTATCCCAGTTTAATTGGTGTCAAATTCCATTAATAGGTGTTCCATTACGTGTCACTTGGAAATCGGGTTGAGGTAAACACTATAAATAAGTTTTGACTTAATTTTATTATATACTTTCAGCATTAATTCAGGTTGTTGGAGAACAAACAGATAAGTCAGAAGATTACTAAATCAAATAGTTGTTATTCCTCTCAATATTAAAATCAGTCTAAACTGCAGTGATTGAGAGTGAGGGTTTTTTTTTTTTGATGACTCTCTAAGATAGACAAATAAAATCCTAGTTTGGTCCATTCAGGTTTAAATAACAAGTTCACAACAGCAATCTGTCAGATGAGTTGAAGACACTTTCCAAGTGTTTTTAGTAAGGGCTATCTTACAAGGAAATGATTAAGAATATTTGAAAGAAAGTGTACCTATTCTCTGTGTCACTTGTCCTGTGCTTGTTTTGATAATAAATAGAGAACTTCTGTTTTTCACTAGTCAGTCCGATGTTAAGGGTTAAGTGCTGTTCTTTTACCCTTACAAAATATTTACTTAATCAGAATCGTGCATCTTTTAATTCTTATGGGCTTGTTTGGTCAAGTCTATTAAAGTTTGATACAAAGTCACATGTCAGCTTAAAAGATATGTTGTTGCTTTTTGTGCTTTATTTAGTAGTTTGAAAAGAAATACTGCTTAAAAAGAAACACTGTTGCTGCCTATTCTTCTCTAAGCAGTGGCTAAGGTCACTACCAAATTTCAGTATGCATTTAGGACAGTATTAATTGTGACACACTTTTAAAAAAAGGGGCCCGGTACTGTGTTTTGTTTTGATGTAGCAATATTCAGCCGCTATGAGGAATTACTAGTAGGACTGAGAATTTCATCTTAACACTTTAAGTGAAGTGTTTCAGTCCTGTAGTAATTTGTCTTGGGACAAGCATGGTTTAATTTAGCAGTTACTTTTATTAAATGCCTCTTGCTAATGATAGATCTTGCCTTATTTATAGCATCTTACACCTTACAGGATGAAAAACTGAATTTAACAACTGAATAGTTGAACAAAGTAGTGCATATATTTCTTATGTGTTTTACTTTTTTTTTTTTTTAAAAAAAAAGGCAGCTGGATTGTAGATAATGCAATAGAAATACGTATTGATAAAGGTTACCTTTCTAAGTTGAAGTATTTTTTAGCAAAGAAAACTCTTAAAGAATTATCAAATATATTTGAAAATTAGGCTTGCTGTTCAAATATGACTACAAGCTTGTACACAAAGCTAGCCATTAATTGATATGCAGTGTGGAAGTTACCATGACACTGACTGTGCTTTTAAAACTTCAGAATAGCTCAAGATTTCAGTATTTCACAATGTGCTTTGCTGCCTATTTCTTAATTTCCTGACTTCTCCTTTTGATGCTTATTCATGATCATATTCCATCATGGGTCCACCCTTGCACGTGTAGAGATTTTTGGTTAGCAGTAGCTGGGTAGCGTGTATGTGTTCTGTGTCTGTTTGCTTCATGTTTAAGATAAGAAAAAATGGTGTGTGTCTGGCCATTTTTTCAAACAACTTTCTTGGGAGAATCTGTGTTGGAAGGGAGATAAGTACTGGATTTAATGTCCTCTATAGATAGATACTGAAGATTCAGTGTCCCATTGCTTCACTGAAATCTGCATTGCCAGGAACAGGTTCAGCTGGAACTCCAAGGAACAGGGAAGTGAGACTGGATTGCAGACAATGCTTGGAAAAAAAATATTGCCACTGAGAAACAGAGCAGAGTCCAAGGTGATGCTCTAAGATTCTTATCAAGTGTATCGGAAAAGAAAATGCATCTCAGAATGAAAAATAAAGATACTTCCAAGCATAATTATTCATGGGAGAGGCATGAAGCTACTTGGAATCTCTGTAGAGTTCATGTTAGTCATAAGAACTTCTTAATGTATATAAACAAACTCACTTTCTTGGCTGCATCACAAAATCAGACAACTTGCATAAATACTAATCTGTCTTCCGGGTGGCTTTGTCTGTCTCCAGATCTTCTGTGTTTTTTACTTTGGAGTTACTGAGTCTAGTGCTGCGCCCACATAGTCTGTCCTTGGACAAAAA